TTAGTCGCCAATTTTTTGGTGAGCTAACACTAGATGAAGACAAAACCTTTCCTAGAAGGTCCAGTCCCTTTGGCCTTATCCATAATACTGTTCTAAACCCAATCTCTGGCCCTAGCACCTTGCTCCAAGATACAGTCCCTTTGGAGAACTGATAAAAAGACATGGGAAGCGCGAACAGCATACTTCAACCCTTCAAAGGGTATGCCTGTTACTTCAGTCCCTACAGCTGCAAAACTAAGTGCTAAACTCAGCATTTTAGGATTCATTTGTCACCCTTATGTACCCCAGAACTAATGTATTAAGTCATTTACCTTTATTGATCCCAGTTATCTTCTCACACTGACAGAAAAAGAGAGGTCTAGCTAGATACCTCTCAGAGACACTAAGCTAATCTCACAACTCTGTCTACATAGCAAGGATCTGAGTCCCCTGCCTATCCTAGAATTAGTCAGGATACAGCCACAGGTTTTATAATCCTTGTCTTGAATCCTAACTCTAATTCCAACCCTAAACAAGTAGTTCATCTTACGGAAAGCATCTCCCTTTCTGTGGAGAGGGTGATGCAGATACAACCAAGCCACAACAGGTCCAGTAACAGAAGCAAATGCACTATAGTGAGTTCTGAGAAACTGGGTTTCTCAGGAGTATGCTTGAAACAGGGCTGGAGCTGCAAGGTCCAAAGAAAACAGGAGAGGGCTTGTACCAGCCAGAGGGGCAGCCTGAACAGGTAGAGTGTGATACTCTGTGTCTGGGATTACAGTTCAGAGCCTTGTCTGCATGTGACAAACAGCCAAATTTACTGTCATATTCACCTATTTGTGCAGGAGCAGGAAGATGGTGGTTAGCAACAGGGTGGATGACGTGTGGTTTGCATCAGGGCAGGCTGCAGCCACCAGCCTGTGCTTCCAGTGGGGGTTTGAGCTGGTGTCAGGGTGCCAGCGTGGGCTTTTGTACACTTGTGTGTGAGACTCTACCTTGCCCCCTAACTGAGGTACAGCAGGTCAGAGGCACTTCACAGATATCTGCAACAATCCTCACCTGCGCCTTCCCCTGATTAGTCCTGGAGACACGTAAGGATCTGGCAGTAATGTAATTTGACTGTCCTAGATGTGGCAGTATCCAAGAAAACCCACTTGTTTTACAGAGCCTGAATTACACTGCAGAGTTTTGTTTATGGTGCTTTGGTGCCCTCTCAGCACATGCATGGGCACAGGGACTAGTTCCTGTGCTTTCTTTGGGGCACTTCTGTTCCAGGAAGCCCAGTGGTCATTGGCAGGCATGGCCAGAGAGCACACTGTTTCACCAGATAACTGAGCCTGCTCCCTGGATGAGGAAGTCTGCTGTAACCAAGCATGTGGTCACTTGGGTTTTGGTCTTTACTGGTACTGAGCTAGTTTGATGTTGTTCTGAGTTTACATCAACTAAGAGCTTGATTGCATGGCCTTTGAAGTTTGTGGTTTGGTTTGGTTTTTGTTTTGTTTTTTGCTTAGAAAATCAAATACATTAGTAAAGCATGGGAACAATCACCCACCTCAGCACAGTCCACTAGCTTGTGAGTTCTGAAAGGGAAATTCCCCAGAAAGGGACTGTAAATGACATCAGAACTGACCATCGTATTTATCAGATTTGCCTGTCCAGAGAGAAGCACAGACAGCATGCCAGCAGCAAACTGTGGAAAATCAATGCACATTTGCTTGTTATTTTTAAAAACCTTGTGTTTTAGAGTTACTTTGTGAGATAAACAAGGGAGTGTTACTAAATTACATAAATGAGCTTGAATTTTTATTGCTGAACAGGTACTGAGCTCGTATATGTTTACTGCACTTATGTACAATGGTGCTCATTTGCAATTAAGTTGTAGTGATGAAGTACAAAATTAATATACTGCATTGAAATACTCCTCAAACGGGTTTTCTGAAATATATCTGGGGTTGCGCTAATGAAATCCATCAGGTTTTATGACTGGCAGGTGTCCCCCACATTGCTCCTAGTCAAATAGAGAAAGAGAAGGCAAGCATGTACCTTCCTTGGTCAGACAGAGCTGCTCCTTCTGCTGATGGACATTCTCTTTGGGTTTGAGATGGCTTGTAGCAAAAGGAGGCTGCAAGTCAGCAGGCTGGATTAGAGGTTAAATGCCACATCCTTTTTGGGAGATAGTGATATAATATGGGAACATTGCTATCATTCTTACAGTGTCATTATCATGGTATTGTCTTACGTGGTATCATTATTATCTGGTATTGGATCAGTATTAGCAAGCCTGCTTAAAGCTTTAAATAACAACAGGATGTAAAGGCAGAAAAGTTAATGAAGAAACAGTGTGGATCATTAGCAGTGGTGCTAGGGAGCAGAAGGTGGCTCTTTAGTGTTCAGGTGTGACAGAGAAAGTTCCTGAATTCTCATTAGGCGTGTGTGGCAGAAAGGAAAGCAGGTGCTGGATGCTTTAACATGCAAGCAAAATCTAAGTTACACCCAAGAGCAAAGTTGGCATTTGCGTCTCCTAAGTTGGTAAGTTGGAAGCAGGTGCTTTCTTCTATATCATCCAGGGTCCCTTTAGAGTGAGAGGAGAGAAGCTGGAGAGGAGTCAGTGAATCATCCAGGAAGGATTTGTTTCAGCTTTAAGTGGAAACAAAACTAAAACCACCTAAATTACCCTGTAAAGCGCCCGTCCCTCTCTACCATCTATAAACCTTGAGAGACTGATTAAAATTACAGTGTCTGCGTGGTTGATACCTACAGCTGAGATGCATCCCACCCAAACGCTGGGAAGCTGTAAGGAACTTTTGGAGGGCACAGCATCTAGCACATTTGCAGTTATTGATTAAGGACTTTCCTCCCAGTAATTATCCAGACATCTGGGAATTGTTGCAGCAGGGATGTATTCTCTCTTGGGAATGTCAGTAGGATCTTCATTAACACTGGCAGGAGTCCTGTAGACCCGTGGTGTCTTCAAGGCAGATTTGAGAAACTGCTGGAAAACCTAGAAATTCCTGGTAGTGCTAGAAAAGATTCCACGAAGCATGCACTTGAGAATGCCTTGACGTGAATGTAATTCAGTGCTATAGCAAGGGGACCAAATTCTGCTCTTGTACCCAGTGGTGGAAGTCCCAGATCACAGGTTGATTGTGGTGGGGTATTTCCATATCTTTCTGGCTGAGAAAAATTGGTCCCAGTGGGGATCTCAAGTGAGGCACTGCCAGAGAGAGAAGCAGACTGGACTCTCTGACCTCCAGGGTGTCCTTCCAGCTGTGTTTCTATGTTCCAATAAACTTGCAGGATCATGTCCACCAAGTCTCCTGGGCTCAGCTGAGCCCTGTAACTAACTTATTTATTGGCTGTCCATTATTTATGTGAGAGTGGGGAAGCCAGTTAGGTATTTTTCTCTCTGGTTTTATTTTAACTTTTTTTCTTGCTCTCTTTTCTTTCTCCTCTCTGTTGCTATCTTTCATCTACAGTTTGTTTTGACTCTGTTGATTTTTGAAGTACTCAAAATAGAGCAGACAAAATGCCAAGCTTCAATTAAAAAAAAAAAAAAAAAGAAAAAAAAGAAAAAAGGCCAACAGAGAGTTGTTATACATTTTTTATGACCTGGAAATCTCCCGAGACATCTCGAGATTGCTGAGATGTTCATCTATCCGTTGGATTGATTGGTTTTCCCCCCCTCCCAACTTCAAAGAGTGTCAGCTGGAAAGAGAAACAACTAAGTGGGAATATGGGACATGGGAATTTTACCCAAAGGGAAGGAAGACTACACACCTGTTTATAGACCTAAATAGAGAACACATGACGCTGCACAGGAATGCATGGCAAAGCTTGCAGTGCACAAATGAAGGAGCTTTGTGTGTTATTGTGAACATATGTTGAAAATAGTTATCCAGAAAAGGACTTTACATGCAGAAAAAGTTTCAATCTTACATGATCCCTGATGGCTTGTTGCCAATTTTTTTCAATTTTGGGGGTTTTTAGGCCTTTATTAGGAAATGAAAAGTTATGGCGTTGAGGAGAGCAGGTATCTAAAGCAAAACCCACCCCAGAACCTTAATAAAAACCGTTTACAGAGGAAGTTTCCAACCACTTCCAAAGCCTCCAAAAGGGCAGGCGGAGCACCGAGCATTCGGGCTGGTCCCACGGGGCCCTGTGCGAGGGTCACCGCGTGTGTGTGTGGGGGGTCACCTCGGCGGGGGTCACCTCGGGGGGGTCACGGTGGGG